GAGCAACATAATTGGATAAAGGTCTTTAGCCGTTTTTTGAAAAAAAAAATATGCTGGCTATATAAAAGTGACATAGGTTGGCTATGGCGTTCTAAGGTCAATATCCATATATATAACTTGCCATAGAATAATTGTGTATGTACGGGGAAAACATTCCATACACACCGCTTTGTATTGTATCGTATTTTATATAAATCACACAAAATCCAAGCACCACGCAGGCGCATTTACAGAAGCATATATACAATGCAAACAACGCGTACACGAGAGTGTGTAACAGATGCGTTTACGTGCTCTGTAGCCCGACATAGTATTTATTAACCATGCAGAAACCAGTGTAAGCCGAGCTACGTATCCACACGGACAGTTGTCGTCATGGCTTCAGTGTTTTCCATTATTTTCGTCTGTATTTGACCACGGTATGGGTAGACTAAAGTTTACCAGCAAGCAGTATTCTCGCAACAACTAGTTGCCAACACTTAGAAGAATTTATTTCGCTATTTTGTGTATTTATCTTCGTAAAATGGTTATTATCAGCAAACTGAAGGCCTGCTTGGCCATCTTGTTTCTCACTACCCCGGCACTCATTGTGTATTTTTCGTACATGTTGGATATCCGAGGCGACTCGTACAGGAAGTATTCAGATTCCGTCCTCAATCGCCCCTATCAGCGATTTGAAGAATTCGACGATGATGATGACACCGACTTCGAAGAGGTATTTCAGTCACATGTTTTGTAATCTTCATCATATATATATATATATATATATATATATATATATATATATATAACGCTCATTTTAACTGTTTAAAGCTTCCGATGTTTTCAACGGTGCTTGATATACTCAATTCTCTTCATATACGGCGACTAAACTAAATACTTTCACATAGCGTACACGCAATTTAAACTGGTGTGGCAGCGTGTGCCAGCGGGGGGGGGGATACTCTCCTTCTCTTCGACGAAAGAACCACCTTCCAAAATACGGAAACATTGACATTAAATCGATTATTTTCTTAGCACTCCAATTTTCAAATGCAATAGTTATAGTACTGTTTACTAGTGTGAGCCCCCCACCCCCTCGCCATTGCAATTACAATATCCTTGTAGTCGAAGTATTATAACATATCGACCCAAAAACACTCTCATGGTGTCAGCGTGATTTGAGATTGATACTATTGAGTTGGTGGACTTCTATTGTGCAGTGCTGCCTTCCAATCCGTCTGGTGCACGTGTAACATATGCGCATTTGTTTCAATTATGTTGGCCTCCTGAACCGTGAATAATCAGCGCCACCCGCTGGTGTCATGTGACCATGCAACATGGCCGCCACAACTTTTAGGTCGAGTGACAGTTAACGTCACCACTGCCCAACCATCAGCGTAATAGTTCAATACACTTTTCCAGTAATTCATTATTAAAGATGGAATATGAATGAGAATATGTAATTTGTAGTATTATTGTTTGATACTTTTATTTTTTAAATACTTCAGGCTATGATTTATCATCGAACAGAGAACGCTGTTCCTATAGTACGCATCCGAGTATTCGTATTAGTGGATTTGAGCTTTCATGTAACGAGTACTTTTATGTGTCCTGCAGACGCAGCATTTTTAGATTATAGGTAAATCGGAATCCGTTTTAGTCTAAAATATGAAGTATCAAAAAACAATATTATAAAATATATGTTTCGTCCATATTGAATCTTTAACCGCTGATTGTATGGTCAATGGTTTCTTCACAACTACCTCATGACATTTTTAGAAGTGCGGAGTCATCCACCAACTGTTGTACCCTTCCACAAAATAATTCTCTGCACCTAATCCGAACAAAATACGAAGAATTATTAATTGAAAAACCTCACACAGTCTCATAGAATGTTTTTAAAATCTAAAATTGACATAGAAATTAATGTAAAATAAAACAAATAGTACTTTATGCGGAAAGACATATAACAGTGATATATTAACTCTCTCCTCATTGTCGAGCGCCATCATATGATTTTCACAACTTCCGGAGAACATGGAAACGAGGCTGTTGCAGAGAACCCATTATTAAAGGCAATGTCCAGCATTATAATACCGTGAACATACAAAACAAACAAGCCATTCACTGTTGAACCTTCGACCAGTGCACATCTTTACTCCAAAAAAAAAAAAAATCATGTTTGTATGTTAAAATTCTCAAACATAAACAAAAATTTCATTTTAATAGTGACTAAAAACTAAAAGTCAGTCTTCAAATTCACACAAATTTTGCATTGAAATACTTAATCAGCATTATGCGTGTTATGAATGGTGGAAGGCGATTTTAAAGTGGCTTAGCCACTCGTATTTTTTTTTAGTTTATACGCAATTAACTAGAGAATATCCACGATGCTCTGCTTTTTTGTATTCTGAACGCTATAATGCGAATATTTTTTAATGTAGAATATATGTGGACGCATTCCCCCCACTACTGTATATACATGTATACAGAGCGGTGAAGGTTTGGTTCTTTAAGTTATTTTGGGAGGTTGTATGTAGCATATGGCTCAATGTGTGTAGCAAGCTGACTTGGCAGTGAATGTCTTGTTTGTTTGTTCATGGTATTATAATGCTAGATATTGTCTTTAATTAAACCAATTTTAAGTAAATTGAAACCAATTTAAATAAATAAATACAGTTATATCTGTATGCATAATATAAGCTATAAATTCATACGATTACAAACTTCTAAGTACTTTTATTGTTGCAGTATGAAGGACTCGTAGAAAAGGACCCCTTCGAATACGCGCAGCTCGAGCGCCGGTTTCAAGAAACGACCACAGAAGCACCAAATTTATCCACTCGTCCACACTCACAGAGGCGTTATTTATTGCCGGTTTTAAAAATATGGGGCGGAGGAAACAACGTCGAATTCCAGTCGTTTAAGACTGTCGTAATGCTGGCTATGTACCTGAATCGAACAGTGGTCTTAACGCCATTTTACGACCATGGGGGTCATAGCCGAGAGGGCTACTCAGCGGAGACTCTAAGACATTTCAAAGACACGTTCGATATCGAAAAATTATCGAGGATCGTACCCGTGGCTACGGTAGAGGAGTATTTAGAAGACTGCCCCGTTATCGAACACATGTTATTCTGGAATACCACTTACTGGAGATACACTACGGACCTTCACCGGGAAAACTTAGGTATAGAAATTCCGCGACTGGAGGACCTCGCTAAAACAGGCCAGCATAGCTGGAGACAACTGGTGAAGTACAACCAGGAACTTAGGTGCGTCGGATTCTACGATCCTCACCGGTTCAGAGCTGATGTACCACAGTATCAAGCCTACCAAAAAATCATCGACGAACACCTAGTGAGATCAACTTGGGTTAAACAGATTACGGACGTCGCGAGAGCGGACATCTGCGAGGGTAGGCCTTACTTGGCTCTGCATTTCAGGAATAAAACCGGAGAAGGGTAAGTGCATTCTCTTTCATGTGGCACAAAATTATGACACGAATTGCAAACGTGGGCAACACCTGGTGCAACTAGGTCAACATGCTTATTTGTTATTTTGTCTTTTCATGTTGTATTAGGCAGATCTGAAAAAATATTGGTGGTCTTATTTTTGCGTCAATCAAATCATTGTGAGATATTAAAATATTTGAGTATGACAGAACGCACTCTGGATCACGTGCGATGCTGCGTGCACGCTCAAACTCAAAGAGGATTCGGTGGGCAAAAGTGGAAAAATAATATATAAAGGGATTCATTACGGTAAACTGTGTTAAATCCAGAGATGTGAGAACCAGAACTAGAAATTGGGGAAGAAATTTCACTGAAGTAGACATGGATTGTTTAAAGGTCGGTGGTCGTTACGCCGCGTCCTGTTCGATATGGGACTCATAGCGACGTATACAACGCGTGTAAAAATACATTGTTTGATTATATGAAATTCGAACACGTGCTGCGCGACGACCACTCCCCTTTAATACCCGTTGCTTTTAAATATAGGGGAGATTGTGGCCTGGTGTTGAGGGAGAAAAGAGAAACGATAGTAATCATGGAATATATATGTAAAACTGTCAGTGGAATAAAAAAATGGATATAAAACACTGTAACAACATATTTCTGATAGTAAAGACAACAGCATCTTGGTAAATATTGAAATAGTATTACATGACAGTTGCTGCCAGATTTTGGTACGAGTGGGAGCATTGGAGAGGATTCATGAAGTTCAATGAATCGTTCCCGAAAATACGTATGCCACTGACCTGACTATAACAGTCACGCATGCGTATTGCAATACTGTGACAACGAGTTCAAGCATGCGCAATGCGTACCAAATATGCTAATAGCGTCAATGACGATATTACGCAGGAATATCACATGAATATTATTTGAACGTACAATGATTAATTGAAAGCATTGATCATAAAACACGACAATCACATATTTTCGGCCTCGGATTTGCAGCCTGTCTAGTTGAGGTAATTAGAAGACTGTATACGTTTTCTATAATGCTAAACTGGTCAGTAGATTTAACAACTCTGTTTAGCTTTTTATACAAGTAGAATACCTGTGTGAGCCAACAAACATTTTGAAACTGTACAGCGCCCCCTGTTGTCTCCATGTGTCTAGAACTGATTTTTGTATTTTTACATTCAAGTGAATTTGATAGTCAAATCACCCACTTTCGGGTGCCTATTAAATATTATATAGTCACTAATGAGATATTCTCTGTTGACGTCATTTTGTGGCAGCTTTCTGCAATTAGGTATATTAAAACAAATAGACTACAATACTGTGTTAACATAAATCCTTTGTTGGAAAGTGACTATAAACATTAAAACCCAATAAATCCAATTTAATAAAAGTGTTAATCTAGTTTTATGACATATAAACATAATACAATAAATTTGTGCACAAGGTCACAGATTTATAGCACACAGTGAACGGTTGAAACTTCGGGGCGTTTTATAAATATATTATCATAAATCAAAATGGCGGTTAGAATTCTATTTGACCAATCCACTAATAGTATTGTGACACCATCGTGAGTTGCACCAATCAATTAAACAGTTTTACTGACAGAATCAACAAATTATAGAATTTCATTTATCATAAACAAATAAACTGAATTTTCCGATCGTAAATTCGTTTTTACTTCACACATACATAATATAACCAATTCGAGCAATCTGCAATAAAGCTGTATATCTCACGCTGGAAGTACAAGTTCGAACCCTAGCATTGGCAAATCATGTTCAATAGTTGAATGAACACTATAAAACACCGTGACTATTCTATAAGCAAAGTGCGCATACTCATAATCACAATCAATCATAAATTCAGAAATATTTATTGTGAGATTTTACAATCTGCATATGATGAAAATGTGTGCTGGGTAAATATCATTTTAATGCAATAAGTACGTGATCTACAAAATGTCCGAACATTAAATTCCTAATATTTTTTACCAATAATATGTGTTTTCATCTTAACTCGTCAATCACATTTTTTGTTATACGTAGTCATAATGCACTCAAGATTCGATTTGAATTGCGCCCTCTAGTAGGAAGGGGCTTCATTCTCAGAAGATTTTTAAAATTATCAAGAAAAATATCAAGATATTTGTTTAATGGAATTACTTTTAGTTATCTGTCTTCATCGCTTCCGGTCAAGGTAAAGGGATACGTTTTTAAAAACAGAGAGCACGGTCGAGCTAGGTTTTCCCAACCTTCATAAATTGGCCTTCGACAAATGGTGACACCGAAAACATTAATTAAACACGCCAAGAAACAGTTCTTTGCTCTTAGGTCGTCTTCACAACTCGAGCTGATGTTGCAAACATATAGCAGAAATGAGACATGTAAATAGGGCTACAATGTTATTGCTATAGGCAACCAGTACGAAATACGTAGAACTGTCTCCCACGCCAATAAATAATTGAGAGTATACATTCTGTACACAACTGGTCTGAGATGTTTCATTACCCCTTTTAGATTAACCAGTCTGTCTGCAACACGCAATAACAATATACCTTTTGCAAATCTAACCTGAAGTGTATATGCGCATGCGCAGCAATATGCAAATGCACATCCGGGACATTCGCGAGATTGTGCAAAACGTCTATTGAGAACACTAAAACACCGAATGTGAGCGTAATAATTAACAGTAATATTCACTATGGTTACCATGACGACTATTCGACACCTTGAACAGATCTGCTTGACTTGCATTATATTCCGTATGTCTACCCAGTTCCGGTATCCGAGTACATCAATTTTATTTAATATATTTTGTCATTAATAATTGGGATAAGGCCATCATTGTAAGAGGGATTGGGCTTATAAACGTGGTAGGTTTATGCACTGAATGCATGTGGTCTATAATAAGCACATTCTATGTGTTAGTAATTTATTTCGAATATTCGAAGTTACGAAACAATGTGTTCACGACCAAATCATGAGTTGCCAATTTATCGATTTTAAAGATAAACATTTCATCTTGTCACGTGTTTCTGTCGCTAACATAATATCTTGCTTCATCCATATTACCAGTGTATACACGTGACTAAGGCGTATGCATATGATTTCATTTCGTTATTTTTATTGTTTGCAGATGTCACTTTTTTCTTGATGTACGGGGATCGGAGTGTGAAGCACTAATTCCCACCATATCGTACGTCGCCGATATTGTTACAGTCATTGTAGTGGACTACATGCAAAAGTTTCGCCTTGATTGCCTTTACGTAGCACATCCGCTATGGTCTTACGTAAGTAATAGCTATATTCGTATTCCAATATTGCTGTTTTTTTAAAAAAAAATATGGACACTAAGGACACGAGACAGTCTAGGTACGGGGTATTTATCTTTAGGCTGGCGATGTATTTCCTGGGCACTTGCAATCAACATGTTAGTTATTATGGCGCTGTAAGCTTTTAGCACGTGAGCGACGACCCTGAGCAGCCCACTAATATCTTTCACATTTGTTTGTCCGAGCCGTACTCGATGAACACATTGAGAACACTTCTATTTTTTTATTATAGATTTATGAATGTGAATGACAATACACAATATGTGGAATGTAAATATGAGCTTCTCTCATAAATGAAGTATAATGTTATTCACAAATCAACAATTTTCTTTTCTACCATTCTCCACTTCAGGAAATGTAAATTAAAATAATATTAAAAAGTGAATTTAAAGTAGTACCATATACGTACTGGTTCTCTATTTTATACATATCTATAATCTGAAATACAATTGTGGGAAAGAAAACGAAAACAAACTAACATGAAGCTTGAGTGCGATTCATTGGTCCAATTTTCTGTTGATGCATCTGCACTATCGGAGATTTATCACGTAACGATCGACTTGCCACGTCCTCATTGTAATTAGTCTGCGATATTATTTTATTTCACTTGCTATGCAGCTAGAGTGTTTGACGTCGTGTCGCTCATAAAGCTACTGAATATAGGTAACAGATAAGGTTAAGCTGATTTCACACCATGTGTGCTGACATCCGACGAGGATCCATTGAAATTTAAGCCATGTGTTTCCTGTGAGCCATTAACTTAAAATTCAGTACAATTTAATTGTTGTTTAATTAAACTAAATGAAATTGCAACGCTAAATAGAGTTGTGTTTCACTTGAATTTATTTAACTTAACTAATGAAATATGGGATATACGTAAATGCAACCTTCAAGTTAGGGTAGCACTGTTTCCCCAAGACACTTCTCATTTGAGTCATGGAATATATATATCTGATAGTCTGACAGCTGAGTCAGGGATAACATGTTTAGCGCTGCCTTCTTTGAACGCGTATCAATCGAGTTTTGGTTAATTTAGCCTCAGAGGACACGTATCAATAGTGTTATGGGATATTTGGTGTTATGATGGTGCTGCAGGCATTGGACACGTAGCAATCGTGTTATGGGATATTTAGGTGTTATGATGATGCTTCAGGCATTGGAC